CTCTCCTTAAAGAAAATTTTATGGATGTTATTGTTCTGTTCTCCCTTCCATACACACATTATTGTTGAAAGAGAAGAGATATAATATTTCTGCTTTAAAGTAGTGCTTTGCTAGCTTCACCTGGTTCCTCAGCTCTGCTTGCCACATGACTCAAGGTAACTGGTTCTTACTGTGATGACTTCTCAGGGATCTTCCCAGTCCTAAAAATTTAAACCCTTGACTTTTCAAAGAGCAATGCTTATTTAGGTCTTTGCCTTTATTTCCACACACTGCAGGCTTATCCAACATGACTACCTCTCAGAGGCTTTGTTAAAAAGAAAAAGAAAATGTACTTACACTGCTGGGGTATAAGAGTGGCAGAGGAAGCAGCAGAAGTGGAACAAGAACAACGAGCAAGAGATTTCTGGATTGGAGAATGTCCTTCATCATTGCCATATTCTCTTACTTTCTGGTGGCTTCTCCTTGGGTTTCTTCTCCGGTTCCTCAGACACCCCAACTTCCACTCCACACTTTTCTTCACCTGTACCTGAATTTCTCTGAAAGGTCTCTCAGTGATTCATTTCCTACCCCCACCTAGTCACCTTAAATAGCTTTCTTAATTCGTTTATTCTTCAGTCTGTTGTTCTGAAAAGAAACTTCAATGATTCAAATGATCACAATGATCACAAAGTCATGAAGTTTAAGTAGGGCTCACCAGCACTTCCAAATTATTATCACACCATAACATGCATAGGTTTGCAAGTTGAAGCATAATGATCTTTTGACAGTTTTTCTTTTTAATTCAGAATCACAGGTGTAGCCGTGTTGCATTCTTAACCCCCTGTTTTGGAAGGTTTTTGTCTTCCATCACCCAGCAATGTAATTCCTGTTTTCATTAACTGAGTGAAATATGTTTCAAGCTGCTTCTTTTTCTCCTGTTTGATTGAATGTCTCAAATAGAGGTTTCCTTTCTGGTGTAAAATTATTAAAACAAAAAATCTATTTTTCAGTTGCAGGTATTCCTTGTTAAAAAAAAAATAAAAAAAAAATTAAACCATCTTTAGCTCCTCCAAATTTTGTCTCTTTGCTGTAGTTTTGGTTTCTACTTTGTATCTACCTTTACCCTACTTTTGCCCTGAGCTTGGAATTCACAGGGCAGCAATTCCAACACAGATTATACTCGGTCTCAGGATAAAAACTTGTTAAAATTCTTCCTGCAACTGTAATTCACCAATAAGGACTGTGGAAATTAGTAGTTGCTCCACCCTTTATCCAAAACCCAGTCAGAATATTTGAGAAAATCAGCAGCCTCCTAATTCTGACATGCACACAAATGTACAAAAAGACCTTTTTTAAGTTGCTGAAGAGTTTGTTATTGTCTCAAGGTCCCAGTACCAATGATAAATAAATAATCATTGTTTTCTAAACAATATCTTTTGTCTTTCCATCCTGATCCATGAATGTCACTTGTTCATAAGGCATGAGCAGAACTCTGTACTGATTCATGTGCCCTTGGTAACTGTAGGACTCAGACTCAAATTGAGAATATTTAGGCTTCCTGCTCTAGCCTTCTAGTGGAGAAACATTTCTTCAGCTTTGCTGTTATTAATGCTTTTTGTGGGACAGAAACTACTGGAGATTTAGGATCGAATCCATTGGCTGGTTGCATGCACGACCTGTAGATGGACATCCATTTGCCCTGTATCGAATAGGAAGCCACACATCTAGGATTTCCCATGCTCTCAAACTTTACTTGGTGATTGTCATCCCCCACTCTGCTGGTCAAACAGAGCTCTGCAGACCAAAATGAGATGCCCCTGTGGCACTGAGACCTGGAGAACTGGCAAAGGCAGACCTGCAGAGGGGTTTGATGTGCAGGGTGAATTCTCCCTGAAATCCGTAATTGTATCTAAGACTGTAACATTTCTAAACCTTGAAACTTCCATCACATAACAGACTCATGAGATATTTCAGGCAAATTTAGCAATTAGTTCTGGAATCAAAAATAAAGTTGATGTGAAGATTTGGGGCTGGCCGATACAACCAGGGAATTTATACCTGTTTTGTCAGTTGTTCCAGAGAAAAGAAGAAAAAAAAATATTATTTTTTTTTATTTTGAATGAAAAAAAGATCTATCTTTTATTTCGTTATGATCTGTAAGGTCAAAAGGTGGATAAAAGGTGCCATTTTAAAGCAATGATTCTTTGCCCCATGAGAGAGGGACTGTCTATATATATGACACAGTCTGAAATAATGAGATGTAAATTGAGCGAGCGAGCTGCAACATAATTCTTCATCTTAAGTAATACAGAGGCAGAGAAGCTTCTCTAATCCCAAAGAGCTGTCCTGAGGCAGAGTGTTCCTTCCCACTTGAATTTCGGCTAAAGGAGGCATTCTCATTCCTATTTATTACCTCCTCCTGCCTGTAAGAGGGAAAGGCCCTTCTTCTCTGTTGTATTGTTGCTCCCACAAAGAGTTTCACACCCCAGGATAACCAATTACTCATGCTGAAAGTTGTTAAAAAGTAAATCTGCTACTGAAATCAATACAATGCAAACCCAATTATTTTTATGTAGAATATTTTTATTATTACACTGATAGTCTCTGTTAAATTAACCTGGGCAGTCCAAGCACATTCCCAAGGAATAAATCTTTTTTTCTACACTACACACAGTAGTGGGAGGAGGGGAACAAACTCAGAAAAACTCTATTTTCTTTTGAGGACATAAAGGTTTTAATTACCAGTATGTAAGGTATGTATGCCGTAGGGAATGATGGGATATTCAAAATCATCTGTAATTCTTTTCTATGGCATGCTTACTGATGAGCAAACTCTGACTGTTTGACAGTCTTGTTATGGGGTAAGGAGAGTGACTGGGGAGGTTTTTCTCTTTCTCTTTCTTGTTAGCTTTGCAGATTTTGAGTTACCGGCTGTAGGGATTTATGAATTGCCATAGTTCCAGGCTCTTCCCGCAAGTGGTGTTTCAGAGAGCCAAGGAGCAGAGCTGGAAAGGCAGGAGTGAATTCCATGGCATTTCCTCTCCATGTGTTTTTAAGGCATGGTGTGAGAAGAAAATACAAACAGATCACCAGTGTTAATGCTGAAAGCTTAAAGGACGTGTGGACTGTAGCGCAAGACTGATTCGTGGGAGCTGAGCTGTGTGTGCAAGTAGAGGAGATGGAGACAGTCATTGCTCATAGATTTGTGGCTGAGGTTTTCAGTTTCCTTTGCCATATACATGCCAGCCAGACTTTGAAGATGGCCAGCTTCAGGTGTAAAAGTGCACCTACACATACGTGTGCCTGAACCTGAACATGCACACTCATACACATGCATACAGAAACTACTGGGAGAGACAGGACTCACTCCCTCTTTTATAAGCCCTTCATCCAGCTGCTTATGCTGTTGCCAGCTTGCCCCTGAGGCTGCTGTGGTTCCACATTCCCGTGGGTGATTGCCAAACCCAGGGAGCTCTGACGGCTTGCACTATTTGCTGCTTGCTGCAACAAGCTGGTGCTGGATGGAGTTTTTCAGCTCCAGTCAGAGCATCCCTGTTGAGGACACAGAAGAGTTCACTTGTTTTGCTCAAGTGGTGCAAAAGTAGTTAAATCTGATTCAAAAGCTGGGCTGGAATCCTCAATTCTCTTTTACAGCTCCAGGGATTTATGATTTGGGCCTGTCTCCTTAAGACATTATGCAAATAGAGAATAGAGAGTGCTTGTATGGAAGGGTGAAATAAATGTTCAGCTGTCTTCCCATGCTCTGGAAGTAGAAGCACCTCTAATATCAATCAAGTGAAGATTTTGTATAACTTCTTTAAAAAAATTAAGGGATTTGTATTAGAAGAGTTTACATTTTTAATTGTTAGTTATCTGACAAAATATATTTCCTTTTTCTGTCCATTTTCTATCCATGACTTCTTTTGCAATTTATAATAATCAGTTGTACTATTTCTACAAACAATTTTTGCTGTAAACAAGTACTGCTTTTTCACTGCTCCCAAATTCATAATTCCCACTGCTGGACTGGTGACTGGCGTTTTATGCTAAGTGGTGAAATGCGATTGTTCCCTGACTGAACAATTTAGGATTCTTCTATGGACTCAGCACTTACCTGCACACACATGCATGAACATACACACACACATATACACATGTGAATATAAAATACACTGTCAAAAACAAGCCACACCGCTAAATTTAGCACCATGTATATTTTAATGCACCTTGCTCCCTTGCCTCAGGGAGATTCTGAAGCATGGGTTTAGATGACCTACGTTCAAGTGATAGAACTAGGAAAAAATGTGTCATCATTAAATCAAACAGGGCTTTTGTCTTGCCTTTGACTCCACTGAGGACAAATCCATGTTCCTTTCAAAAAACAAGGAGCAGAAGCAGAAAGTCATGTGCAAATAATGAAAGAATCATTGCAGACTGTTTAGGAGTGTGGCTCTAGGAAGCAGGGAATATGTTCACAGGCATTGTTTGCTGCTGGTGTTCACAATGCCCTTTGTCTTCTGCAAATGTTATTGTGATTAAAAACTGGCTCAGCCAAATTAAGTGAATCAGACAGTGCTTATTTACAAGAATGTTTGGAATGATTAATAAATGGCGTTATTCCTGAAGGCTGACAATTAAGAAACCTCTTACAGAATGCGTTTGCATCTCTTTATAATATTCCTTTACTGGCCAGACAAGATTTGAACTTATTTCCCCAGCTAGGAAAGCAGCCTTATGCAGCACATACACATAGGTATGTGAGCATAAGCATAGTATACTTACGTATCGATTATAGGAAATGCACCAGATTAAACAAAGGCATGTCTGTTTGGGGTGTACACCACATTTCCTTCTTTGCCTGTCACAGAATGTGCCTCCAAATCAGCACAAAAACCGAATTACCAGGACTGAAGAGAGCATTTTTCCCCATTTACCATGGAAGTATAAAGTGGATTCCACGAGAGGGAGCTAGAAAACAAATAATCTTTCAAGAAGCAGGCTACTAAACTCTTTACGGAATAAAGTGGTGGATGTGCTTAACAACCAGAGGATGTGGCTGAGTTGCTGCTGCATCAAGTCTCTCACTATGATGGCTCTTTGTTATATGGAAACATCAAGTCGTGCTTCAGGGCTTTGTAAAGATTAACAAAGGATTCAGCCCAAGTGTCTTTCTGGTGCCCCTGGGACTGAGCAGCCCTGTAGGCTGTGTAGACCATGGTCAGCACTGTCCTTTCAAAGTCTTCTTTCTTGAGGACTCTTGGGTAGGAAGACAGCTTGCTACTCAGCCTGCGGATCTCTGTGATGCTCTTGGGGATAATCTCATTGCAGATGGTGTCAAACTCAGCAGCCTTCCTCAGTGAAGCAAGCTCCTCATCTTTGATGGAGATCCTCTGACTTTTGTCAATGTCAAGCTCAGCTAAAAGAAACTGGCACAAAAGCAGAACACAGAAAGCTATTTAACTTCTCCAAGAGACTCTAGGCAGAGTAAATGTGAATTAACAACATGGTCTTAGGTCTTTCCTTTAGGTCAAATGGAGACAAAATTCTCATTGCACTGGCTGGAGGTGGGGCAGACACAACAGTCTCTATATGAACGTTGGACTCCTGTTTTACCTGCCTGGGGAAATTAGAGATAGGCTATGGGGAAAGGAGAGATGAAAAGGAAAAGCAGATAATCTTCTGTTGTCCAAAACAGTCACGGGTTGCTGCTGGCACCATACAGGGATTAGAGAAGTGGAGACAGCAACACAACTGGGAAAGGGCATTTACCCTGCCAGGAACAGCAGTGGTGGCCTATCTCTCTGTGACAGAGCACAGCAATGACTTCTCAGTCCATCTGCCCTGTTTGGACATTCAATCCCAGTTTCTCAAGGTGTGGAATAGATAGATTTGACCAATGCACCTTCTTCAAGTTGGGCCACTTTCTCTTAGCTAATCTTACAACTCAGTTCCACATGTGCATTACATCTGCAGTCTTCTCTGAGGGGACCTAAATGATTTTGAAGTGAAAGTCATGCCCTTGAGGTTACTTTGCAGTGACATACTCGTGGCTCTAACGAAAATCATTTAGGACTGAGATTTAGACCCAAGATTTTAAATCCATTGTGTTATTAATATGTGACTGCTCTGGAAGAAATATGCTTTCAGTGGAAATCCTTTTGCTCTGGTTTTCACTTTGCCTGTCAGTGAGCTAGAAGACACATTTCACAGAATCACAGAATCACAGAATCACAGAATGTCAGGGGCTGGAAGGGACCTCAAAGGGGTGGAAGGAACCTAAAAAGATCATCTAGCCCACCCCCCTGCCAGAGCAGGATCACCTACAGTAAGACGCACAGAAACATATCCAAGTAGGTTTTGAATGTCTCCAGATGAGACCCCACAACCTCCCTGGGCAGCCTGTGCCAGTGTTCTGTCACCCTCACAGTGAACAAGTTTTTTCTAATGTTTTTGTGGAACCTACTGTGTTCCAGCTTGCATCCGTTGCCCCTTCTCATGTCATTGGACATGACTGAAAAGAGCCTGGCTCTGTCCTCCTGACATTCACCCTTGACATATTTATAAACATTAATGACGTCACCCCCCAGCCTTCTCTTCTCCAAGCTAGAGACCCAGCTCCTTCAGCCTTTCCTCACAAGGGAGATGTTCCACTCCCTTCATGATCTCTGTGGCTCTGTGCTAGACTCTTTCAAGCAGTTCTCTGCCTCTCTTGAACTGAGGGTACATTTGAGGTACTGCAGGTAACTGCTGCCTGCTTAAGTACTGAAGGAGACATTTATACTGTCTGTTCCCTCCCTTCTGGTGATCTATTACATAGTCAGCAATGAATTTACTGCCGGAATGAGTAAAAGTGACATGAAGACATATAATGGATACCCCCAGTATGTACAGTAACCGCAGTCTTAAGGTACCATCTGCTCCCAAATACTGAACCTCATAAAGCAGGACCACATCTTCCAGCGTGTTTTGTAGCACTGGGTTAAGGAAGGCAGCTGAGGACCTCTTGAATCGCTGAGCAGCTGGGAAAAGCATAGCTGGAAAATAGTAATGGGAAAAGAGAGGTTGAATAAGGTGACAAACACTGAAAAGAGGAATCACTTTTCAGTAGGAGATTCAACCAAAGAACTGCCTGTTACAAAGATTTACTGTACAGTATGACTTGGGTGGCATGGACTGCTTTGACCGTAATCTACCAGGGAGCGAGGTTAGCTGTTTGTCCTGTATCCATACACTGTCCAGCATAGAGTGGTTTATAATTCAAATCGGGACTCTCAGGTGCAGCCATGGTATAAGGAATAACAATTTTATCTGCTACATCAGCGTTTTTTGAAATACATGTCCTTCTCCTGGCTCTGCAAGGGGAGATCAGTACTGACATCCAACAAAGCTTACTTTCTTCATGGCATTTTCTTACTGTCATACTTCTGACACCTTCCATTTCTTCTGCTTTCAGCTGCCTAAAAGTCTATCTCTCCTTAGCTGACAGAGATTTACTCTCTGGAGAGTAGATCACCTAGTTTGTCCTGGGCATAGATGTCCGGAAGGAGTGAGTGACTCATCCTTTGGAGACGCCTACATCAATTTTTCATTGAGCCTGTTACCGGTTTAGACAAGACAGCTACATTCAATGAGGTGAATCCCAATTATTACTTTAATACTTCATATTGTTATAGCTATTAAAAAAAAGGGTGCTATGATCAGATATTTATTCATCACTGTGAAGTGTACTACAGATATTGTCTCAGGGAAATGAGACAGAAAACACATGTATCACTCAGCATCCCAGTGAGGCAAAGTGTTTTTGGAATCAATGATCTGTACAGTCTGGAGTATGGAAAACATCTGATGCTACTTTACTGATCACCTAAATGTTTTGAGATACTAGGTTACAAACCAGGTAACTAAGTACTATTCAAAGATGTTAGTTCTTTCCAGAGCAAAAGGGGAAAACTCTATTTTGTTTAATGTCATGTATATATGATTTAGATGTTGATGTTTAGGTAACCATAGTCTGGATTTGTTGGAGTTTTTTTTGTAATACTCAGGAGCAGGAAGGATTTTTAAAGCTGTGCTTCTGTGACTGTTTCCTCATAAACTTCAGTTCTGTTTTTACTGCTGTATACCAATAGATTAATTTGGAAACTAGTTTTAAAAAGGAAAACAAAACCATCTTTATGGTTCCTCCTTCAAAATTCAAGGTTCTGCAATTATGAATAACAGTTAATAGAACACACAGCTTACTTCGAATTTCTGAAAGTTTCATCTTATTCTCTCCCTACCGTATTTTTTCCATAAGGTATTTTTACAAGATCAATTTTGCCTTGTTTTGCCAAAGTTCGTGTGATGGATTTTGCGTGCTGCCTGTAGAAAACCTGAATGCCATTTGCAGCTCATTATACTGGGCGTGCAAAAAAAAAAAAAGAGAGAGAAAGACAAAAACGACAGAGCATGTGTAGTTATTAATCCCTGACTACATGTTTCTTCAGACAATTTACCTCTTTGATTATCCAAGCAGATCACAAATATGCAGTTTCTTGTAGACTCTGTAGCCTAAATGCAGTCCTGTTTCCTGGGCCATTGCCAAGTGTTGACTTTAATAAAGTTTGACATGTTAATGATATTTAAGTTCTAGTAATGCAAGAAGTAAGAAACCAGGCCCTCAGAGATTGTGTTAATTAGGACCTTTACTATCTAGCATAAGGAAAATTAATTGGAATAATACTAAGGATGAAGTAATTCATGCTTGACCCAGCAAAGGGTATTTTGGGCTTGAATTATCTCAGGAATACAGTTTAGGTAAAATATTTTGTTGAACTGCTATAAACGTACTGCAGCTGGATACTACTAAATGTAAATGCATTCTGCAGGGATGGATTTTGGGAGTTTTGATAAGACACCTACAGAGCTAGGTGCTTCCTATTGGATCTGTGTGAATTTAGATATAAAACTTGTTTAAATAAATGAATAGTGCTTGCAGAGTTTGTGACTAAAAGCATAAAGGAATAAATGCACCAAGTAAAATAACAGAGATACTGAAAAGGACTTGGTCTCCGCAGTAGTCTTTCCCCAGCATGATGACTTTACTACCCAAGATCTTTCTGGCCCAGCCAAAGAGGAGGTGAATTTGGGTAAGGTCACAAGCTGCCTGCAGGTTCTGCTCTGCAACAGTGTTTGCCTGGCTAACCACTGGCAACTGGGGCTCTACTAATTTTCTGCTGCTGCTCCAACACTGCTGTTCATACCCCTTTCCCAGAGCTTTGCTGAGACATGCTGGAGATATTCCATCTTTTGTTCCTGGCAATTCTAGAATGCAATTGACTGCATGTGAAGCACTTGAAACTTCAAGCACTAATTGCTGAGTAATTATAACTTTTATTACTGGGCAATTAAAACTCTAATTACTATGCAGCTGGCAGAAATCCAGTCCATAACGATGACGATTCATTATCTCTTTTAGCTGCCCTTTCATTGGAAGCAGCTTCAGAGTACAGAGTACCTCTACATATGCAGACAGTTTACATCTCAAATATTCCCTGAGCCATGGAAAAGGTGTCTGTGGCATCTTGCTTCAGTGCTGTCATACTTATTGTCATCACACCAACTGCTTTAACTTTCAGGCCAAGTGCAGATTCCCACCATGGAGCAGAGATAGGAGTCATCAGATTCAGCCCATCACCACTTACCCAGAAAAGTCTCAGTGAAGGACTTGAGAGGAAATGGGCTCAAGTTGCTCCAGGGAAGGTTTAGATTGGATATTAGAAAAAAATTCTATACTGAGAGAGTGGTGAAGCATTGGAACAGGCTGCCCAGGGAAGTGGTGGAGTCACCATCCCTGGAGGTGTTCAAAAAGCATGTATATGTGGCAATTTGGCACATGGTTTAGTGGTCATGGCGGTGCTACATTGATGGTTGGACATGGCAGAGGTCTTTTCCAACCTTTATGATTCTATGACTCTATGATTCTATGAAAATGAATGCCATATTATCAATTTCGTACTGACCCACTTGCTGAATCACAGGTAACCTCAGAAACAATCTGGCTTTTCCTACCCAGCTGTTCCCAGGATAACATGGATTAGGTTAGGACATTCGAGGGGACAAGAGCTGCTATACTGTGAGAAAGGACTTTGTATGCATTTCAGAAGCATGTCATCCTCTGCAGTGAACAAGCCTGCACTGACTCCCTGATCTCATTATCTTGTTCCCAAGATGTATCAAACTTTGTTGCAGTTCTTGGAGACTCTACTAAGAAACCCTTTCAGAACTTGCCTGTATTTGTCATGGTTATCTGATTTCCCTGATCCACATTTAGAGCAAGCACTCTCTAATTTTCATTACACTGAGTTAACATACATGTAAGTTAAGAACAAAAGGTGCAACAGAGAAAGATTTGCAGCCAGTTTCTGCATTTGGCATTTGCAAATTCCACTTCAAACTTTTCTGCTAACTTTACATCTTCCTGAATTTACTTCCATCTCTCACATGAGTTAGCTGGGCAGTATCAAAGAACTACAGAGGAGTATTACTGTGAAGTGCCATCTCTTTACTCTTTTTTTCTTCAAGGGAGTTCCCTGTAAAGTTATCAAGCAAGTATTTCGTAGGAAGATGCAGAGTAATGTGCATCATTTTATGTTGATGTTGTAACCAATTTGTTTTGATGGCATAGCCATGAATGTCTGAGGAGCCAGAGGCCCTTGATCAATTCTGACAGAGAAGGCTTAATACAATGACCTCTAAAGTCAGAGGTGAAATGCCTGATAATTTATTCTTTTATTTTTTTCTTAAAAATGAGTCAAGACATCTCCAATGGAGATGTGGGTGCTTCTGTCCTAAGGGCTGAACAGTCACATAACAAAAAGGAGATGAGATAGTAAAAACAATGTTTTGATTACCCTTACTGAAAATATTTTCTCTTATATATCTGCATACTAGTAGGCTCATCCTCTTCCAAATCCCTTCTTCTGAGGGACCTTAGGAGTGCTGCCTGATCTGACCTCCCTCTCTGTCTACCAAGGCCTCAGGGCTTGAGGAGGAGAGAAGCAGGGTGCCTGAGGGCAGCCACTCACTCCTGCCCATCTCCCCAACCCTGAATGGCCTCATCCTGTGTCCTGGCACACATCACTGTTTGTGCCTGAAGATGGTGGGTGGCCAGCAAGTCTAGTCCTGAAAGTGGCCAAAATTGTCCATCAAAATGTGGTATAGGAGTCCTCGTTTTCTGCACTTCTCACTGCAGGAGTACATCCAGGGTCCTTCATCTCTGTTGACTCAACTTCAGTTTTCCTTAAGGTCTATGCAGGTTTTTAAACAAAAGCTGCATCTGTGTTTGCCATCTCGTTGGCCTGCTTCTAACTCTTTTGTTCAGCTTAGAAAAACTGAGTGCTGTCTTTTTGACAGCTTAGAAATTTCTTTACAGTTTAAACATAGTATCACAACTGAGGCTAACAATGGCATTATTTTAAAAATGCTTTCATCCTTCTCAAAAACTGTGCAAGAAATTTCTGGACCTCATTAGCCATGCAATAAACATTTTTGATCCTCTCCCAGGTTTTCCATGCAGTTTCACTAGTAAGGTACAGATATTTAGCTTTGCTTTGCATTCATCCTCTTGCTTGTGATTTCCCAATTGCTGTCTGTGATGTGTTTTCTCAATAAACACAGAGAATAGCTGCAGGAGTGCTCAGTTATTTGTGCATCTCCTGTGAAAAGGTATGAAGTCAAGAGTATGAATCAGGCCCTGTGCAGGCCATTGCTCCAAAGCACGTATACAGTTCTTCTGGATGAAGTTCACCTGGGGTCGTGACTCAGTGGGAATTATTTTGATTGACTTCAGGGGCATTCAAAGGAGCTATCTCACTGCTTCAGTGGGAGCCCTTACAGAAAGGACAGGAGGAGGAGAGGAACAAGGACTTCTGGGCCAAAACTCTTGATTCGCTGCACACAGAGTCACCTGTTGGCACAGCAAAAGGCAGTGGCCCGGATGAAGTTGTCCTGTAAGCCAGATTCAGTCAGCAGGCTCACAGTTGTGTCTTCCTCC